CTTATGATTCAGATGTGGTAACTCTACTCGCGAGGCCTATAAGTCCATTAACATAAGTCGATATATCGTGTTTCTTTTCGTCCCTCACAACGAAATAACAAAACCACCGCCTACATGACACGCAAGCGGAAGAAAGCTGATCGGCACCCGATGCATCAATGCGAGTACATCGGTCTCGCTTTCTAGTAGAACCGTGCAAGTCGCGTTCGTACCTGACGGAAGAAATACAGGATTCTTATCCCCTCTTCTTTATCCCCGTTTATTCCGACTTTTCTTTTCCTGCTTTTCACGCGCGCGCGAGCCCCTATATTTACTTCACAGGATAATAATTTTGCATGGTTGCGGTTGCATCTTTTTATATTGAAAGAAATAACGGAACTGGATGTGTTCAGATTGCAATATAAGGTGAAACTGGAAGCATAAATAATCATGATTCTCGAAATTTATGAAGCGATATTAATTTTCTAGATCTCAAATATCTCTGGAATTCTCATTCTCTTTTCTTATTGAATGTTCATCTTACATCATTTCCGACTTATCAAATGCAGACTTTAGTCATTATTCCTAGTTAGAAGAATAAAAAACTCAGCGCTTTTGAATTTTTCTATTTAATTCCTATTTTTCCATGTAATATGTATTTTGTGATTAAGACATATAAAAATATGAATTGTTTTACCTTCGGAACTGGATTGCGCTAGTAATGTAAATGTAACGTCAAAATAAGTGAGAGAAAAATGTAAATAATCATTCTCACGATGAGAAACACAAATATTTTCAAAATATCTTGTGTTTTTTTTTCTCTCGAGACCGTAATTCTTATTTGCTAGCTTATATGTTTTCCTCGCTGTCGCGTAAACTCGAGCGAGGGAATTTCTTTTATTCCGAGGTTGCGATCGTGCAACCATGCATTTTCGAGTACTTGACCTCCATTCCCTTCTTAGCGCCGTCTAACTTCGTGAATGGTGCGCGATGCACATCGTAATTCCGTGCATTGCGTCTGAAACAATAGCGTGTTAACTGCGAGTGACCAACTAGGACATACGCGAGAAGCCAAAGCCTGAGTGTACACGATCTTATATTATACTTACAAGATTACAATCGAACGTCTGATTCTAGATATATAATAATAGATATATAACAAATAATAATAAATATATTTCCGATCATAAATTATTTATGTGAAAAGAATATTTATTTCATGTATTTCATGTATATATATTCTGTGTAATTCAAAATGTAGGAAAGA